TATAAATAAAGCTTTTAATTAAGTTATTATTTTATTAGTGTTCATACAATTCAGTGAATTCACAACCTTTTCAGTGTATTTCAAGTGCTGTTGAATTGATGTGAATAGCGATGTCTACACAACAAGCAGTCGATCCGGCGTTTAGACTAATTCCTCAAAATTCAACATTTTTCTACATTTGGAGAATTGAAGTAAATCTTACTTTTAATGCTATTTTAATTACACTTTAATAATCCCACAGTTGTTATCATATTATCTGTCAAAATACAAACACTCTCTGTTTAGCGCTTAACTTTCAAAACTTAATTCATTTAAGTTTGCCTTTGATTAGAGTTTCATTTTATTTTTACTTATTTTAGTTATTATTTAGCATTTAGTTTGTTATTGTTATTAAATATTTAATTAAATTGCATTTACAAATGGGTATAAAAATAAACACATAAATGTTTTTGTGTATTTGCAATAAATAATAAGTTTTAGTTTTGAAAATAAATTAATTCCTGAACGCACTTGAACATTTTTATAATTATATATTTCAATTATAGCATTCAAACAAACAATAATTTAAATAATTAATGTGAAAATAATGATAATGTTTATGAATGTATTTATATCTCTAATTGAATAACAACTGAAATGTACAGAAACTTCAAGTAATAGCGGTTCCAAAGGAAAGTTATGGACAATTTTATAGCGGAGACTCTTATATTGTGATTTGTGTGAGTATTTGCTAGTATTTGACATTTGTATTTGTCATACAAGTGCTGAGGGCTTGAATTGAAATGAATGTGATTTGAATGATGGCAAACAGGCGACAGATGGGAAGGAAAGGGGTGACTGTCAACTCGTACCCAAAGAGGTCCGGACGGGCCTTGACATCAATATCCACTTCTGGCTCGGAGAGCAAACATCTCAAGACGAGGCCGGTATCGCCGCATACAAGTCAGTCGAGTTGGACGACTATCTCGGAGGGACACCAGTCCAACACAGGGAGACTCAAGGTTTGGCTTTGCATTTATTATTCAATAAAGTATTGAAAAATTAGAATTTCAATTATTTCTATAATCATAATAATCATACAATTAGTCATAAAAATAAATTTGCAATAAAAAATACAAAATATTTTTCCATTTTAACTGTTAGGTCACGAATCAAAGAGATTTTTATCATACTTTAGGAATGGGATGAGGTATGGCTTATGTGTTATTCATTTCTTATTACTTGTTTCTTATTCTCATTTCAATGTCGTCCGACTGTTTGCCTATCCTTTGTATCTAAAAAGAAAATTATGTTTAATAGTGTCTCAGATCTTAATTGAAGGTCTTTTGCAAATACAGTAATTTATAAGTTTATGATTATTTTATTTTTTCTTAAAGAGTTCTCAAAGGGGGGATTGAAAGCGGTTTCAATAAAGTCGACATATCTTTGAAGCCAAGTCTTTATCACGTAAAAGGCAAACGAGCGCCTGTAGTGCGAGAGGTATTGTAAAACAATTAAACGCTATCATAAATAGCGGGGAAATTACATTACATTTTATTTGTTGCAATTGTATTGCAAAACAGTTGCAAGAAATCAATTGGAGTCAACTCAATGACGGCGACGTCTTTATTCTGGACGCCTGTAGTTATGTATTCGTGTGGACAGGAAGTCATGCCAACAATATGGAGAAGATTCAGGCCATTCAAGTGGCACAGAATCTGAAGGCCGAACACTCGCCCGATTGTAAGGCCGTTGTAGTCGTTGAGGACAACAACGAAAAGGCGGAACTGAGTGGCGATGAACGCGAGTTCTTTAACAAATATTTGCCTCTAAACCAGAAGAATGTCTTAAGTCATACTGAAGTGCCAACCGATACCAAACTTGAAATGAATCAAAGATCTGAAGTGATTCTATACCGGTGTTCAGATGAGGATCAGACTCTTAAGGTGGAGAAAGTCAAGAGCGGACCACTCGAGCAAAAGGATCTCAATTCAAATGTTAGACTAATTGGAAAATATTTGTTTGAAAACTAAAATGATTACAACTTTGATTACAACATTGCAACTTTGATTCATTCAAATTTAGGATTCATTTATTGTGGACAACAATTTGGGCGGAATCTGGGTTTGGGTCGGGAAGAAGGCGTCGGCCAAAGAGAGAACGGAATCGATGCGAAACGCTCAGGGATTCATCACGAAGAAGGGTTACCCCCAACACACACGTGTGACGCGAGTGATCGATGGCGGAGAACCCATTGAGTTCAAGAATGTGTTTAAATCGTGGAAAGATAGCGCCGAAATCAAAGGCTTAGGCAATACATATAATGTGGGAAAAATTGCAAAAGTAATTCCCCAGAAGTTTGATCCGACGATTCTGCACGAGAATCACGTGTTGGCCGCCGAGACTCAGATGGTGGACGACGGGAAGGCACAGAAACAGATATATCGGGTCAAAGAGTTTGACTTAATTGAAGTGCCGAAAGAAGATTTTGGCAAATTTTACTCCGGAGACTGTTATCTCATTGTCTATTCCGGAGCGAAGACTACAATCATTTACTATTGGTTGGGATCTAAAGCATCGGTCGACGAACGCGGAACCGCTGCCATGAAAACTGTCGACTTTGACAATAATATGTTTGCGGGTCAAGCGGTTCAGGTGCGTGTGGTCGAGGGGAAAGAGCCAGCTCATTTTATGGCCATGTTTAGCGGCAAGATGGTTATTCTTATGGGAGGGTTTGGCAGTGGATTCAATAACAACGGCAATAATAACTCGAATGAACAGCACATAAGCCTTTTGCAAGTGAGAGGAACCAATCAATACAATACAAAAGCAGTTGAAGTACATCCGAGCGCATCGTCTCTTAACTCCAATGATGTGTTCGTTTTGTTAACTCAAGAAACAACTTATCTTTGGGCCGGAAGGGTATGTCTCCACTTATTGATAACAGAGTGTAACTAATTATTCAAATAAATTATTTTTAATTATAGGGAAGTCTAGGCGATGAACGAGAAATGGCTAAAAGTATTGCCGAACATAAGGGAAATGAAGTGCTGTTAGTATCTGAAGGACAAGAAAAGAGCGAATTCTGGGACGCAATCGGAGGCAAAGAAGAGTACTCTAACGACAAGAGACTACAACTCAGCGATGATCCACATTCTGCTCGACTCTTCCAATGCAGTAATGCTTCGGGAAATTTCTCTATCGAAGAGATCCCTAACTTTGATCAGTCGGACCTCATTCAAGACGATGTCATGATTTTAGGTAATTATGATTAACAAAATGTATGCAAATCTAACAAATGATATATTGATGAATCAGACGCCTGGGAAGCGCTGTTCGTTTGGATCGGAAACTTATCGAATCGGGAGGAAAGAAAGCTGGCTCTGGAAGCGGCCCAACAGTATCTCAACACTGATCCGAGTGAGAGAGACGTCGACACTCCCATTATTGTGATCAAACAGGGCTACGAACCCATCAATTTTACCGGATTTTTCGGTGTTTGGGACATAACTCTCTGGAATGTAAGCACTTCTGACAAACTTTCAAATCTATTACAACAGATTAAACTCAATTTGAAATAATTATCTTTTTTCTGACACTTTTATTAAATTCTCTTATAATTATTGGTTTATGTTTTATTCATTTTGTATTATTTATATTACCATATTTTGACATTAATTTGTTTACTTTGAAATGGTTTTAGTAATAAATTTTTAAAATTTTCAAAAGTTTATTTTGACACAAATCTTGTTTTTCAAATATTCAGAAAAATGGGAATTACGAAGAGATAAAGAATTCATTAAAAAGTGGGAAATCAGAAAATGTGAAAATAATTAAAGCAAATAACGTGAGTAACGGACACTCAATGGATTTCGGATCCGTTAATAAGTATCCGATTGAGACGTTGAAACAGAAAGACGCGGTTCTTCTGCCCGAAGACGTGGAACCGACCAGAAAAGAGGTCTTTTATTACTATATTTTAATGTAATTATTAATATATTCTAACAAATACTTGTCATTTTCAGCTCTATTTATCAAATCCTGACTTTGAGAAAGTTTTTGGCGTTTCATACAAAGAATTTCAAGCGATTCCCAAATGGAAACAATTGGATCTCAAGAAAAAAGTCGGTCTCTTCTAATTGAATGGCAAAGAATTGAGTTATAAATTATCTATAATTATGTTAAACAAGTGTTCATAAAAATGTGTAAAAGATGTTGCAATAAATTAAATATATTTAATTCATTTCATAAGCAAACAAATTCTTTATTTGATTGAAAACAAGTGAAGTAAAAGTTAGTGATAGACCAGGCCATTCCAAAATAGAGAGGGGACATTTATTATGTGAACGTGGTTATTGTTTGACCTAGGCAATTTCCAAATATTGCTCACTATAAACGTACTCGTTTATTTACATTGTCTGTATGAATAGTGTATGAATAATGTGCACAATTTTTAATAAGATTTCCACTATTCTGCCACTTTGGAATTCGCTGGTGATAGACTGACTGATAGTTTGTGGGAACATCTCATTTATATCCCATTTCCAGAATTTAATCATTTATATCACAATTACGTCAATTATCTCCAAACAACTGGTTCTCAAAACTCTTACTATTTAATTGTCGGCCAATCGGGTAAGAAATGAGCCGATAATTAGTTCATAACATCTCTTGAAGTTAGAAGAGATCCTATTGATGAACAATCGGATTCCTCCAAAAGTGTATTAAGCAACTCATACTATGATTACCCCCAATGACACTATTGGACCCACTATTAAGTGATAACTGTTGTGTCCCATGAGGTGACCCGACATGAGGTGACCCCACAATAACCCCACAAACTCTTAACTGAAACAAAAGGGGCCGACATTTGAAACGTTATGTTATTTATGAGAAGTGATTGTATTGATTACATAACAAGTTGTGATCACATGTTTTGGATCCGTGTCTTAACTCTCGATGACTTCTGCCGAACATTTGCCCGAATCTGAGGTCACTTTCGGTGATGACTCGGGTTTGGCCACCAATGCATGGATTGTGAAGCCCTGCGAAAGATATCGACAACAATATAATGACTGCAAATGTAAGACATTTGAGACCAACAATCGGGTGATTCACTAAAGTCTTGACCGGTTTTTGCATTGTTTTTGACAGCAATTAAAGCACGAGTTCATCAATACTTCATATTTGGACAATCAATTGATTGCAATCAATGGTCGCAAGACTTCAACGATTGTCTCAATTATAGGAAAACCAAAAATGTCGAGCATTTGGTAAATATTGAGCTAAAAATATTACAATTAATTCAATGATTGATTCAAAAACTTTTGAAATGAAGAATAAAGTGATTGACAGCGAAACGAGACGAAGAACTGAGAGAATGGATGCCATGAAAGCGAACGATGTCTGGGAATACAGATCTGAACCGCCGAATGATTGGCTGAAACCACTTCCCGATTGGTTCGTCGAAAGGAATCGCTTCTCATATTTAAGTCGAAAACAGAAAGAAAGAGAAATGAATAATAAATCTCAAACGAAAAACTAATTTAAATACTGTTAGAGAGAGAGAGAGAGAGAGAGAGAGTTGAATGGGTTGTTTGCATGCATTTCATGTGTGACCACGATTGGTGTGGTATTGTCACGACTAGTCTAGTAAAGCAAACCAAATACATTGCTTACAATTGAATCGTTAGTTTAAAATCAATTATATATTCAAACGGTTTTATTTAAAATAATTTTTATAAACGTTTACATAGTTTAACAAAATAAATGAATAAACATTTAAATTGTATGAATTTTAGAGGTTATGAAATGTTATCGAAAATAACAGAAAAATGATTTTAATATTTTCATTAAATTAATCGCAAAACAAATCTATAAGTTTAGTTGGATTTTAGTCAATAAATGCTGAAAACAAAAGCAAACATTTTTGACACAATTGGTAGGAAACGTCTGTCAAATCTATTGTAATTACATTTATATATTCATTAATGAGATAATTAACTAAATTTAAAAATTAACCTAAAAAGCAATTGACAGAACAGTTTATGGTATAATATATCGGATACAGTATTATATTAATTAAATTAAATGTTTAAATGGAAAAACAATGCAAATTACGATAGTTTTATAGAAAGGGTGAGAATATTCGTAAATTTATATTCATTTCAATTCTGTGTTCATATCATTCAAATATAAATATTATTTAAGACCTAAAATAATCTGATATAATGTAAAAAAGATCCCAATTAACGATGCATTTAAACTTATAATTGGAGTAAATGCTTAGCCATAGACCCAGTCTTAACGATGGTATCGCTGTGAGCCTCGTATGTAATGCCGGGCGTATAGCCGGTCCGTTGTTTAAGTATTTTCCTATTCATTCAATCGTTCAAAACATGTATTATTAATACAGTATTAATCAAACGCTAACTAAAAACATGTTGACATTCAATGCATACCCAATATTAGTGATAGATTGGACTCTTTTGAAATCGTTAGTCCAAACGGAAATCTTATCCATTTTAGCCCTAATATTGATTACAGCGCCGCATATCTGGTCGCTATCCTCACCAAACGCTTCGCCAATCAAACACAACAACTGATCCAAGCGTTTGAACGGTTAAGCAAATCATAAATTATAGATCAAAATGAATTGTAAGGGGATGTGAGACGAGTACTGACCACTTCGAGCCACGTCTCGTCGATCTGTCGACCACTGGTGGCCTTCTTATTGAAAGTGAAGAGCCATCGGCCGCCGGCCTTATTCTTCTCGTCCTCCCACATCGGACGGATCCCATACTTGAACACCGAGTAATCGCTTCCAGCGTTCAGATGTGACGCCAATTCAATGTGATTATACAGACTATCCGTACAATCAAACAATGAATCAATGGATCAATCAATGAATGAGCGCATGAGTTGACACTTACGCCCAGAAGTCCTCGACGGTGTCGAAGTGAGTCACGTCGAGGAGGTTGTCCTCCCAGGCAGAGCCACGCGCTCCGGGCCTGAAGTACCACAACTGCCACTGATTCTGAAGCGGGTGTTTGGGTATCACTTCATTGGAGTCACCGCTCGCCTCAGCCCTCGCCTCAGTAGTCGAGACCGACTAAACCATTCAATCATTGTTAGCACGTGTTTGGCATCACTTGTCTCAACACAATCATAGCTTACCTCCACTTTCTTCACTTCGGATGTCATGTATTAGCCGTCAAATGAGTCCTCAATTCAATCAATTCAATGCAAAATCAGTGAAAATGTGTTTTATTTGATCCGATATTAACGTTAACTCAACACGAGAGCAATGCTATGGCCTAGAGGTCGACACCGCTGTAGTAATGCCGCATTACTGGCTAGAGGTGTGCGCATAGCTTCATGTCAAATATTGGCTCCGATTTTGAATTGACTTCAATAATGAGTAAAATTTATTTACTTTAAAAATTTAAGCAGAATTTTATTAAAATTTTTATTTCATATGGATGTTAATCGAGGATTAATGAGGGCTCAGGGGTTCGGCACTCGGCTAATACTTTTCACACTATTTTTAAACTCAAAACTTGACTCCCATTTACTACTACAGTGCAACCTATCTGTAAGGAACGGCCAGTTGTAGTGCACAAAGTTTCTTATAAAGAGGGTTTCTCGAAAGGAGGTTACATTACATTACATTATAAGTATAGGAAATCCAACAAATATTTCAATTTAGTTATAAGGAGGGGTTCCTCCAAGAGAAGTTGCCCTAAGAGAGGTTACACTGTATTAAGTTATCATTAAAACCCGACGATTAAAACATAGGTTTAACGCATCGAAACATTGTTTAAAGTAGAGGTGACGTCACTATTAGGGACACAACAGTGACGGCGGCTATACTTTACACGAGTTTCGGCTAAATATGGGCCCAATATATGCCCCAAACTCGACGCCACACTTGTGTTGACGTAATTGATGTTTGCATTTAAAAAACACATTCAAAACAAGTTGTTATTTAATTGTCAATATTTTTGTGCATTTAATTTATTACTTGTTTTTTTGACACCACTTTTGACACTAAATATATATTTTTAATCGCTTTTAAAGTTAATCACAAATTAATTAAAGCTTTTTTTAAATAACTTTTTATTTATTTAATTAAATTAGAGATTAATTATGTGTTTGTATTAATAATAAGCGTTACATAAATAGTATTAAATAAATACATATTTTTATATTAAATGATAATAATTGTGGAAAAATTGACGATTAGTTTGAGTTTTTGATAATACAATTGAATGTAAAAAATAAAGTGATAATCGATTTAATGAATGAATGAATGAATGGATTGTTTAGTGAATTAATGGCCGAAAATAGTTTAGAGAGAAGTGTTTTGAATGAAGAGATGGTCGATAAGAGTGGTCTCACTCTCAATGGTGTGACAACTGATGCCAAATGTGATGCAAACGATGGCAACAACACTATAGCCATCGGGAGGAAGATATCCATCAGAAGTAACAAAAGTATAAATCATGATAAAAATGATGGCAGAACTCAATCCGCGGATCATTCATATAAATCCGATTGTAAGTCATTTTGCTATATATTTGTTGATTGAATTTTACCATATTTTTTATTGAAATATGCATACAATTGATTTGCAATGACCGATATCTGCAACTAATGTCTGTGCTTTTGAAGTGATCATTATTTAGTTGATTACAAACATTGCTATAATTGGTGTTTAATTGCATATCAATTATAGAATACCTAATTGTGATTAATAAATGAGTGTAGAGTTAATTGGTATGCATTGATGAGCCAATGTATTAGTTACTCAACATTTATCATATTTACCCTAAAATCGTGCCTATTACCCGCGGGTTATCTGATGAAAAAAATGATATTTTTGGGAAATTACTGAGTGCGGGTTATCTGCAAAGTGCGGGTTATGTGAGGTCATAAAATGATAAATTGTTATTTTATTAAAATATTTTATTCAAGAATAAATATGATTTTTAATCAAGGATACATTCTACAGTAATAATATTCTTTATAATTGAAAATAATGTAAAACTTATTTATGACATTAAACTTAAGCATTGAAAAATGTATTTTTGTGATTTTTATATCAAATGCTATCAAACACTATGAATGAGTTTTAACATTATTTTCAATTATTAAGAATAGTCTTCTTGATTAAAATTCATATAATATTACAGTACATATCATTCAAATCCATCAAAATCAGGGTCGGAATTACATTTAAAAGCAGAGTTAAGATTAGTTATAATATTAGATTCTTCGCCAGATATGTCTATCTTTAACATAATAAATAATTTAATTCATCACAAATATAAAGAATTACAAATGGTTAAATACAAAAATTAAGTTTAATAGTGTGTTAGCCATATATTTCAAAAACATGTGTTTGTTGTCAACACAAACAGGTATGAAATTTTTGCGGGTTATCTGTGAATTGCATTTTATTTTAAAATATTTGTATTTTTTGCTGGTGCGGGTTATACGCGACTGCGGGTAATAGGCACGATTTTAGGGTAATACTGTATTAGGTTTCCGAAAGTTTGTCAAATTATGTATTACTTTCGCATTCTGTATACCGTATTACCCGTATATAGTTGTATGCATTGTAAACATAGAAATGTCACACAAAGGTCTAAACATTAAATCACTTAATTGTGTGCAACTCTATGCGGGAAAAGTAGATTAATATTTCTGTATTTCTATTAGTTTGAAAGTCTTGTAATGTTATAATTTGATACCAATTAAAAGATGACAATAAAGTTAATGATGTGCTAAATATGACAATTATTACTGTATTAGTATTATTATTGTAAATTATTTTCTGTTCAACGCTAGAGTTAGACATTATCCCAAATCTATCACATATTGTATTTGCAGAACTCCTTCGATGGAAATTCTCATCACATGATATTTACTTTTATTAATTCAACAATCTCTCTAAACTATTTTCGGCCATTAATTCACTAAACAATCCATTCATTCATTCATTCATTAAATCGATTATCACTTTATTTTTTACATTCAATTGTATTATCAAAAACTCAAACTAATCGTCAATTTCCGATGGCTATAGTGTTGTTGCCATCGTTTGCATCACATTTGGCATCAGTTGTCACACCATTGAGAGTGAGACCACTCTTATCGACCATCTCTTCATTCAAAACACTTCTCTCTCGTATATTTTGATGATTTAAATAAACTAAAACTACCATGGCACAATTGTATTGTAATGAACCCAAACTTTGGTATGAAGTTAGGAACAACAGTTACTGTGGGATCACTTACCTCTTGAAATGTTTTTAATGGAAAGTCAAGCAATAAAGTAATTAATTATTAAATTATTATTTGTAACTTCAATACAATAGTGTGTGGAATAATACAACACTGTATTCATTAATAGATGATAAAACAATCTTAATATTAGACTTAATTGTATGATTAGATCTGACATTGAATTTAAAACAAATATTTTTTATTTGATAAGAGTTTTAATAATCGATTGGATGACAATTAAATACCAATTATTTTAAGATTTTAAGTCTATATTATAAATAATTATAGCAATTGTCTGTTTGGCATAATTGTTGCAAAACTAATTGTAAATTATGACAAAATCAAAAACTAAGCGTTTGTCACGATTTAATGTAACAGTTGTGGGCGATTGGCTTGTGTTGGGAGAAAAACTACACATTGAAAACATTTATAAATCAATTTTTTGTATAATTAGAAATTAAAGGTATAATAACTATGTTTTAAATGTTAAATTTATTGCATTTAGTCCGAAATCGTTGGGCTATCGAGCGATCAAATTACGTGAATCTCATGAAATTGATTGTGAAAGAGCTGATTGAGAAGTCGGCCAAAACCAATCGCATCGTCGAGTCCAACAATATCTCATTGAAACACTTGTTTGTAATATTGGAAATGATTTTCAAACACGGCCTCAAATGTAAGCCTAAATATAACAATTAATTACCACATAATTGACTATATTTTGGTAACTGTTAGCCAAAAAGGGCGGTCTATTCGAGAGTCGAAAGGATTTATGGAATGTAATAGAAATAGTCGAAAGACTTTCTTCCGATGCCTCCGATATCACTGTCAGCGCTCGACAGATACCTACCATTAAGTCTGAATTGATTTATTGCTTCAAAAAATGATTGCTATAATTAGTGTTATTATTTAAGGACACATTTGGGAAGAGTGAGGGCATGGATGCGATTGGCTTTAATGAACAAACGACTCTCCGATTATTTTCGACTCCTATTAGAAAACCGAGAAATTATTTTAAAAGACTATTACGAAGAGATGTCAATAATGATGTCCGACGAGGCGGTCATTATTGGTGGACTACTCGTCGGCCTTAATATTCTTGATTGCAATCTATTCGTCAAAGAGGAGAACTTGGATTCCGACGACACTGTTATTGATCTGAGTTTTTATTTAAGAGATAACATCCAAACGGATCCATTTGAACCCGAATGGAGGAATCATAACGAGACCAACAATGAATGGTATGAAAAATTTAATTGCCCTTAGGTTTAGGTCTCATGTCTCATTTAAGATCTTATACTTTTTAGTAATGGTTTTGAAGACAATATTTCTGTAGTATTGGATCAGAAAAATTACATCGAAGAGCTTAACAGGCATTTGAGGTTTGGTTTAGAAATTTAAAGTCTTAAAGACATGAAATAAGTCGTTAACTAATTGTTGTTATTGGGAAACAGTTCCACAATTTCAAACTTAGAGCACAAAATAGAAACCCTTCAAACAGACAACACTCTTATGTCCGAAGAACTTGAAGTTTATAGGAATGTCGACAAGAATTTCGAAATCATTAAAACAATCCCAGAAATGGATTCAATTAAACAATCAAAGGAAGAGTTCTCCCAATTGGAAGAGCAGCTCAAACAAGAAGTGAAACGACGAGAGTTGGCGGAGAAAGAGCTGGAAAGTCAACTGTTCCTTAAGGGCGAGTGCGAGACAGCCATGCATTTGCTCGAAAGGGATGTTCTCGAGAAACAGGACTCTGTTATCACTTTGAGACGACAACTCGAAGACATTAAGACTATTAACCTTCAAATGTATTCTAAACTACAAGAATGCGAGACTTCTATTAAGAATAAAGTCAATCATATCTCGCATTTGGAGCAAAACATCTCAACGATGGCTAACACTATCTCACAGCTTGAGTCCAAGTAAGCAAACGCTTCAATTCAAACTGTTTTCTTGTTTATTAAATGCATTTTCTATAATATATTTTCGCAAAAGAGTAACAAATTATGAGAAACTGCGCGCAAATGACGAACAAAATCAGATGAAATTAAGCGAACAGTTGACAGACGTTGAGCTTTGTTTGTCTTTGTGAGGACAGGGGCTCGACATTGAAATAGGATTACATTATGAAAGCCCAATCCCTCTAAACTTATTATGAAAATCAATGCTTTACTAGACTATTGAAGAATAAACAAGGTTTGAATAGCAAAGCTATTGGTTAGCCATTATTCGTGAAATGTAGAACACAACTTAAAGTTATTACTTTGAAACAACTTCTTAACATATTCTTATGTTTCTCTGTTTAAAGATTACATAATGTTTTTTAGGCAACTTTTTTGGTATAAATTGTCTTATATTCATGAATATAATTTCAATGTATTTGAAAACAATTTTATAACATAAAAGTAAAATGATTATTAATGTTTAGAAAATGGGATTCATTTAATTAATTATTTTTTATTTGGAATATTTTCAGAAAATATAGAATTTCATATAAAAATTAAAAAACATCAAATAAAAAATTTCAAATATTCTTTATAAATAATATATAAAATATTTAAATAATGTTTAACAATTGAATATATTGTTAAATCTCAATTAATTTATGAATTCTGTTAAATAGATATACATATTATACTATATTAGTTATAAATTATAAAATTTCTATTGAGTACTTTTAAATATTTTGATATATTTTATTGACAAATACTGTATAAGTTTCGTTAAATTTCAGCACATGTTTTATACATGTCTTTAAATAATATTTGCACTTAAAGTCTATGAAATAAATATCAGTGAATTAAATACAAATTGTCATAATTTTGTGGTGAGTTTGCGCTCAAATCGTTTCGACATTTAAACACATTTAGTGTTTTTATCTCATGTTTAGGAAAATAAAGTATAAATTTAAGTGTTTTCTTGTAATACAATAATTATTTTGTTATTTAAAAAGTTTATATCAAAAGTAAATGTTTGAAAATTAAATTCAAGCGATAAAAAGTCATTTGATGTGAATATTGGTATAGAAATAGGCATTGAATTGAATTACACCGATAGAGCGAATACTGTGTAAACCGGCATAAAGTGACCCAATATATTGAAATATTGTATCAATATTATAAATTGAATCAACAATTGAAACAATGGTTGAATCGATAATATACTCGAAGAATAATAAGCTGAAGATCTTAAACCAAGTGAAACTTCCGCTGACCGTCGAGTTTGAGGACATTAATAACGTGACGGACGCCTGGAATGCAATTCACTCCATGAAAGGTATACTGATTTTAACCATATTATTGAAGGTAAGAGTGATTTGAATGGCAATTGATATGACAATGCAGTTCGCGGTGCGCCGGCCATCGCTATTCTGGCCGTACTTAGCATTGCTGTCGAACTCAATGACCAGCAGATAATAGGCGAAGTGAATGGTGACAAAGACAAACTGCTGGACCAACTCAGACAAAAGTGTCAATATCTTTGTACTTCGCGTCCGACTGCTGTTAATATTGACAAAGAATGTAAACATTTGGTCGAAGTGTCGGCCAAATTGGCCGCCGATTCAAACATTTCATTTGATTCAATGATCAAACAATTGACTGAATATTCGGTTAATTTACTTCAAATCGATATCAATGTTAACAAATCGATCGGAGATTTTGGCGCACAATATATAAAACAACTAACGAAGAAAGACGTGAACAATATTCTCACTCATTGTAATACTGGAAGTTTGGCCACAGGTTTGACCGCTTGAATGCTCTCAAATAGTATACAAATTATGTGCAGAAAATAACAGAATATTATTCTCAAACCAATTATAGCCGGTTATGGGACAGCGCTTGGAGTTATCCGATCATTGCATTCAACTAAATCTTTATCCCACGCCGTATGTTAGAAATTATCAAATAGTTATATTATAAAGTGATTTAATTAAATTATAACAAATACTAATTTTACGAAATCAATGTTAGTATTGCACAGAAACGCGTCCATACAATCAGGGCTCGAGACTGACGGCTTGGGAACTACTTCGGGATAACATTCCATCCACTCTAATATGTGACAGTATGGTCGCCGCTCTCTTCAAGGATAAGACAATTGATGCCGTTGTGGTCGGAGCCGATCGAGTGGTCAGTTATAAATGATTTAATCGAAATAACATATTTAATTATAATGTTAACAATTGACTGAATAGGTGGCCAACGGTGACACCGCCAATAAGATCGGCACCTATCAGATCGCAGTATTAGCCAAATACCATTCCGTGCCTTTCTTTGTGGCCTCACCTCAAAGTACTATTGATATGACGCGCAAAACGGGAGACGATATCCCTATTGAAGAGAGACCGGGAGATGAGATGAAAAAAGTGGCCGGCATTCAGATCACAGCTCCGGGTTTGCAGACATTCTTTCATACAATTTAATGTAAATTCAATATTTAAATAAAATGTTTACTAATCCAGAGATCAATTGCTGGAACCCATCATTCGATGTGACGCCAAACGAGTTGATAACAGGAATAATAACCGAATTCGGAGTCTTCGCCCCAAATCAACTCCAAACTAAATTTGGTCATTGATTTTGATGTAAAAATTGTATACAGAATTTTGTAGTTTCGAAAATATTTTAATAAAATTTGAATCGAAATTTGAAGCGAATCCATTAATTAGTAATATATAATCGAAATAATAGTAAAAACATTTGTTATCTTAAAATAGATATATCTTAATATATAAATATACGCGAAATATATTTAATGTAATAAAAAATAAATAAAATGTGTGTTTAAGTGGCCGAATATCGTTCGAGAAGGTATGCCTGACACGAGTCACACACTCTGACCGGCTTCTTGTTGGACGGAAGAGGCATCTCATTGTTGGAACAGTTGCTGCAAAATATTTCACCACAACAGCGACAGTGATGCTATCCATTCAATGTTTCAAATCAATTATTTATATCAAATCCAATAATTTTGTGTAAAATTAACAAATAATGTATAGAAAGCATACCTTTCTTCGGGCGACAGAGAATGGTTTGGAGCACTGATGGCATTCGACAGCGTCCTTATCACTCGTCCAAACGGCCTCTTTTAGTCTTCCGGTGTTCTCTTTAAGGCCATCGACTTCTAGTTTAGAGCTGATCCAACACAACAAATGCATTTCATTACAACAATTTCGTTCACAATTCTCATTGTCTTACTCTTGGAGTTGTTTTCCCACTTCTTCTAAAGAGAGCTCATAATCGGAACATTTCTTTTTCAGAATTTGATTCTCGTTTTGTATTTTCAGCGATGCATTAGATGTCTGTCTCGTGTTTTCCAACTGTTGCTGCAATTGTGTGATGTGTTCCTGTTGTTCATCGATTAGTTTCTGAAGAGTGGTTCGCCATTCCTTCTCAGTCTTGGCGTCCCTCTCGGAAGTGATTCTTTGGCGCTCAACGTCTGTCAACTGTTCGCTTAATTTCATCTGATTTTGTTCGTCATTTGCGCGCAGTTTCTCATAATTTGTTACTCTTTTGCGAAAATATATTATAGAAAATGCATTTAATAAACAAGAAAA